CCCCAAAACCCCAAAACCCCAAAACCCCAAGTTAATAAAATATTATGATTTAATAACAAGTATGATATTATAATTAAAAATGAACAATAAATCTAAGATAATCATATCATTTACTTGTATACCACATAAAGTTTTATCTTTTAATAGGCCTACTACTACTCTCACATTTGATCAACTGCCAAGTAGAGCAACCTGATTAAGATCAAAATGTGCATTAAGATAGAGGTATATCGATGGAAGAAGTTGAGAGAATCACTGATGATATAAAGATTAAGGACAGCAACACTACAGAGGATAGCGAGTTAATGAAGGAATGGGAGACTTATATGCATGATTTTGTTCCTGAGGATATGAGCACCATCGTTATAGAGCCCAGACAGGAAGTGGTATGTATACTCTATGCTAGCCAAGTCATTAATGTTTTATTAGAGTTTTTATGAGGATGTCGGGGATGATTCAATTTACATTAGAGGAGCTTATTTCGTGGGATCTACCACTGGAAAGAATAAGTTCATTGACTTCTTTGTTGTTGACCCAGCAGGCAAAGTTATCTTCAGCAAGAGAAAGTCTGAGGAAGGTATATTCAGGTTTAATACTACTTTGCCAGGTACTTATGCATTTGTTTTCTCAAATATGAAGGTAATATTTATGTGAGGTAAAACGTGTTTAATTATAGGAGAGAAGAGGAATTAAAGACGTCACAATAGCCATTCATACTCCAGGCAATGATATCGAAGATCAACAATTTAACTCATAGGAAGAAGCTGCAAATGGCAAATCAGAGGAGGTTGATGTAGCTGACGATTAGGATATTAAGAGCATCAGAACCTTCTTGAAGGGAATATTCCAGGACTTGAGAAGCATTTCAATGGAGACTAAGTTTTCAAGCTACAGACAGCACACTCATAATGAAGCAGTGGAGGAAAACAACTAGTACAATCTATACATGGTGATATTTGAGTCAATATTTTTCATGGCTATCTGCTTCGCACAAGTGTACTATATCAAAAACTTCCTGGAAAATAAAAGAGTTATCTGAGTGGACAAAACAATAATTAACTCATTTAATTCTTACTTCTATTTCAGGACGATTCAAACTGCTGGGGTTTTGGGGTTTTGGGGTTTTGGGG